GTGGTTACCCAGAACTACCACTCAACAATGGTCAGCAAAATTTCTCACAGCTCTACTAAGCAGCCACCAGGAGGGTGGGTATTGTGGCCACCCCTAGGATGAGCACCTGTTACAATATTAGATAAATGAGTATGTGCATACAAAAAGCAGACAAAATTCTTTGGGTAAATGTGGTATCTGTTATTAAACCAACTAAATACAGGTGTCCCTTGCTTTATGCTGTACATGTGTTCCTTGAAAATGGCGCATAATTCAAATTCACGTAAAGGGAACCTGCTTTACAATGTAACAAATAGGGATACATTACAAGACATCAACTGTACTGACCACCAGACCCATTTCTACCACTTTTACAAGACAATTTTGGTACTCATCAACACAATGCACCACGCAAAGCAGCTGACTGTGGGCTTCCACCATGCTGATTGCATAAGAGTGAATTTACCTCGCATATAATGAATTTTTGGTATAAAAACGGTCATTGCATAAGAGCAAATTCGCACATACAGAACCCGCATAAAGCGAGGGAAACCTGTAGTTTGAGAAATTGTTCTTTGCATGTTTTCAGGTGCAAACACCCTTCTTCAGGCACAGAGGGAGTTACATGGCAACAACCAGCAACCCTGTGCATACAAAGTACATGTGTTCCTACACATTATTCTCCATTATGTAAAGAAAAGTGAATATCAAGGTTACCATTCAATTTTAAGCATAACATGGTGTAACAGGGAACCCTAACCCTGTTACTAAGAGACAGAGTGGCCCCTTTAAGTCTGGAACCTTCTGGTCACGGCCAGCCAGCCAAGCACGGGTTAAGGCTGAAGCCCTGCTAGCCGGTCAGGTGACCAGAAGGGGCAGAGCCTGGCTCACATATAAACCCCAGGGCTGAGGCCAGGATGGCAGTTCCCTGCCAGCAGCCAAGGGGGAAGGAGCTCTCCCAAAGCAGCCAAAGAGGAGAGGCCTCACTGCAGGTTCAGCATCTGATACTAGTGAGGGCTGGAGCACCCCAGGTGTGGCTTGGATGATGTTACAGCCGGGCGCCTTGAATTTATGTTATAGCCCAGGGGCTTGTGTTTTGTCTGATGTTTGACACTGGTGGTTTGGGTGAGGCTATGAGGGGATGGAGGAGGCCTCATAGGGGACCCACAGCAGTGTGAGGACCCCCGCTCCAGAGAGGGTGCAAAATTTGGGGGTGAGCTGACCCCAGCACCAGAAGAGGGTGCAATACTCAGGGGTGAGTGGATCCCAGCACCCCAGAGGGGCAGGATCCCAAGTGAGGGTGGGGTTTTTTTTGAGAGCTAGAGCCTGGGAGTCAAACCCTGATTAGTGGGTTGTTTTTTTGACTGACAGGCCTAGCTAGAGAAAAAGGGGTTAGGCTCACAGTGGCCTAGACCCCGACATAAAGAGGAATTTACATATACCATCTGTGAGCCTTGGACTGCGGTGTAGGGGAGGAACGGAGCCACAGATAGCACCCCCTGGCATCGGGGCAGAAAATGGGCAGCCTCCTGCTTCATTACATCTATTAATCAATTAACAATAAGGCATGGGAGGAGAGAAGGTGGGCAGTTGCCCCATAATAGGTGGGTGGGGCCACCGGTAGATGGACCTCAAAGAGGCACCCCTGTTACACATGGATACTTTGTACAATATATGCAAGAAATAAGTCCAACTTGCATTCCAGCACAGGGACTATTCCAATTGTGCTGCTAGGAGGTATATTAAATGTATTACACCATAGCGTAGAATGCAGCCGTATTCCCTAATCTTGAAAATGCTTGCACATTTAAATAATTATCTTTGTGTAGTTTTAAGATCCTAATACCACATTGTTATCTGCACTTGTAGATTGGTATATGCCTCCTTGGAAACACTTCTGGACAGGGCCTAGGTCAGTGGTTCTTAACTTTTTGAGATGCAAGGAGCCCCTCTTTAGACTCGAGGTACCCCCAGCTAGACTCAAAGCAACCCCTGAAAAATGCCAGTTGAATTTTCATTCTTCTTTTTTTTGACTACAGAAAAATAGTACAGCATTTCTTGTGTTTCAGAGAAACAAGGTATGTGTTTCAGTCCAGCTAGGCTTTTTCAGACAAACCACAACAAGTCAGAATGGTTTTAACACTAAGGATTCCTATTTTTAAATGTCTGGGTTTATCTTGTGAATCATGTTTGCACACCTAACAGTGCTAACATTGCATGACCCCCTCTGGCACACATGAAAGGATCTCAAGGCACCCCAGGGTGCCATGACACACTGGTTGAGAATCACTGGCTTAGGTTCATAAGTGTTTTTATGATCCAAGCCACAGAACACACTAATTTTTAATGTGTTTTAAAGTCCCTCTTCTTAAAATTAAGGAGTTTGTTGTAACATGTGTTTATGTGAAATCTCTTTCTGGTTTTGTTTGAGAAATCTTTATCATGCACATTGGGACAATCCATCAAACTCATTTTGGTAGAAGCCGTTTTTTTTCAAGTTTCAAACTCATCTTTTGGGTTTTTAATTATATTTGAAAGTAATACAGATTCCTAAAACAGGTCAATAAAAGGGATAATATCCTCAATAATGAAGTAATATGTTGTTTCATACACACAAACATAAGTAGGATATTTGAATTGCATGCTATCATAGAAGTACGTTAAACATTTGCATTTTTTATTAACTCATCTATCTTAGAACCAAATTCCCTGTTACAGAGGAATAGTCCATTTACAGTAATTGATTTGAACAAGTGTTATTGAAGCTAGAACTTGGCCCTCAATATGTAGATATAAAATAAACTGTACAGTTTTGCATACATGGTTTTCCATGGTTCTTGCACAATGCTACTTTAAATAAATGAGATAGATCAATGGTGCTCAACTCTTTTGTCCAGCAGGCCAGATGAGTGGTGCCTGCTCCATCTACAGATTGCATCTGGATGGTGGTCCTGATCTGGCACCCAGAGCAGGATGCAGCAGGGCCCCATCTCCCACAGATGGGAGTGGGAGGGCAGCCCAGTCCCAATCCAGTTGTGCAGGGGAAGGGGACTTGGCCTAGTCACAACCTGGCTGCGCAGTGGGAATGGGGTGTGCTTCAATCCTGCCACGGGGCTTGGGAATTTGGCAGAGGGGATAGTGGCATTAACCTCCATTGCTCCCTGCTACTAATTTTCCTGACCTATGGGGAGTCCCACACGCCATATGGCACGGCCCCACAGGTTAGATTTGGCCTGCCGGGTGTTGATTAAACACCCATAACATAGATTAAAGTGTCTTTATTTTCAAAATTTATTTTCAGTTGAATCTATTATTTAGCATTTGAAGTATCTTAGGGATTTTTCAGCAAGTGTCTGTGTTGTGGCTCTGTGAATTTTAAGACAAGAAACAGTAGGATTCTTTTTTCTATGGTGCCACCCTTATTTAGGAGTGGGCAACCTGCAGCACAGGTGCCAGATGTGGCACAGGCAGCCTGCATGCGTGGTATGCAGCAGTCTGGGATGGGGACAGCCAACAGGGCAGGGAGCAGAAAATAGAGTAACAGCTGGGCTTAGAGCAGGGAGCACAGAACAGGAAGCAGAACAACTAATTGGGCAGGGGAAGGGGATCAGAGTGTGTGTTACTTTGAAGCAATACTCAGTTAATCCATCGTCATATATTCCATTCAGTAGAAGGAAGGTGGGGGCTGTGGTCTTTCCCAATATATGGCAGAACTTTTTACCACTAGAATAGTTTAGAGCACTGGGCCCAACATTTTTGTCAGGCATGCCACAAATTAGGTCAGATTAGGATGGCATTATGGGGCAAAATACTTCTTGGACCACTCCAGATTTCATGGTGATGCCACTGGGGGACTGTCCCTAAGAACCCTGACCACAGTCCTGCCCAGCCCAAAGCATGGTTTGGCTGCGCCAGCCTGCCAACTAACAGCCCCCATGCCCACTATACTAAGTATAATGGCTTGAATAAGGAACTGGCTTTCAGGCTGGGATTATGGCTAGAAATTCTGCTTGGGCCACTCCACAGCATACCTCTGCACCACTGGGGGACTCTACCAGATGCAACTCACCAAAGACTTGCCCAGCCCAAAGCACAGTTTCACTTTGCCAGGGTGCTATTGACACCATCCTTGCCACTGTGTTAAGCATATGGACCCAAATAAAGAACTGGAATTTGGGCTGGGATTATAGCTAGAAATCCTTCTTGGGCCACCCCATGCCATGGCACCTCTGTGCCACCAGGGGACGCTTCTGGACATCTCTGACCAGAGATTTGCCCAGCCCAAAGTACGGTTTGGCGGCTAGGCTGCCAACAGACAGCATGTTAGCCACTGTGATAAGTATATGGACCTGAATAAGGAACTGGATTTTGGGCTAAGATTATACCTAGAAATCCTTCATGGGCCACCCAAGAACACATCTCTGTGGCACCAGGGGACTCTCCTGGACATCTCTGACCACAGACTTGCCTGGCCCAAAACACGGTTTAGCCATGCCAGGTTGCCAACTGACACTACCCCCAGACACTGTGCTAAATGTCTGGAACCAAATAAGGACCTGGATTTTGGGTTGGGATTATAACCAGAAATCCTTTTCAGACCACCCCACGCCATGCCTCTGTGGCACAGAGGGTCTCTACTGGACATCTCTGACCAGAGACCTGCCCGGCCTAAAGTGCGGTTTGGCCATGCCAGGCTGACAAGAGGCAGCACCCCAGCTACTGTGCTAAGTATCTGGACCCGAATAAGAAACTGGATTTTGGGTTGGGATTAGACCCAGAAATCCTTCTTAGGCCACCCCAGACCATGTCCCTGTGCCACCAGGGAAAGCTTCTGGGCATCTGTGAATAGAGACTTGCCTGGCCCAAACCGCGGCTGTGCCAGGCTGCCAACAGACAGCACCTAAGCCACTGTGCTAAGTATATGGAACTGAATAACGAATCGGATGATGGCCTGGGATTATACCACAAAATACTTCTTGGGCCATCCCAGCCCATGTCTCTGTGCCACTGGGAGACTCCTGGACATCTCTGACTAGAGATTTACCCAGCCCAAAGTGCGGTTTGGCTGAGCCAGCCTGCCAACAGACAGCACCCAAGCCACTGTGCTAAGTATCTGGACCTGAATAAGAAACTGGATGATGGGCTGGGATTATACTGAGAAATCCTTCTTAAGACACCCCACGCTGTGCTTTTGTGGCACCGGGGGACTCTCCTGGACATCTCTGACCACAGACTTGCCTGGGCCAAAACGGTTTCTTCATGCTATGCTGCTACCTGTACACCCCTATGCCCACCGCTCTAAGTATAATGGCTCGAATAAGTAACTTCTTTTGTCCTGGGATCAGTGAGAGAAATTCTTCTTGGGCCACCCTGCGCCATGCCTCCGTGGCACTGGGGGGACTCTTCTGGACACCCTTAACTATATTTTTGTCTGGTCCAAAGAACGCTTTGGCCATGCCAGGCACCAATTTACTCACCATCCACGTGTGCTATTTACATTGCTACAATAAAGAGCTGCCCTTCTGCTGGGTTCATGGGGCAAAACCCTCATGGAATCATCCTAGAACATGTCTCCACTATCAAGGAGACTCCTGAAGAAATCTGGGCATGTCCCTGCTCAACGCAATGCCAGCTTTTTGAGTGTTAGCCTGCCAGCTGACACCCAACCTTGAAAACCTTTATGTTGCTGTTCCACCAGGCACTGGATGGCAGGATGAATGGCTGCATGCATATATAGGGCACCAGTGACAGACCTCTGCTCTGATGTGTGGTATTTAGCATGTGTCAGAGCAGACCCACTTAACTGAGTTTGCCTCCAGTCTGCTGAAGTGTGCTAATTAGCACACTCCAGCAGCCTCTGCGTCACATGTATTCACTGTGCCCATGTTTCAAAATGGCAGCAGCAGCACTTTAACTAAAGATCTTCAAACCAGCTTTGTTAAAGCACCCCCACCGCTGTTTTGAAGTGCAGGACGCTGAATACATGACACTGTGGGTGCTCTAATTAGAGTGGCTCTCAGAGCCGTTCTATTTAAAGCACCCTTCTCCCCACCCCAGAGCATGTGTATAGAGGCCCCTAGGGATTTTTCAACAGCATTTCACATTTACATCCAACTGCCACCCAGAAACTTGGTAAAATAACTTAAAGCTGGGTGTTGTAATTTAAAGGAACCTGCTCACTCACTAGCAAATGTTAAATTAAAACAAGTTTATTGCAAGGGAAAAGGGGAACAGTGGTACTCCCTAAGCAAAACCTTAACTATTAACCTTTAACTGTAGCTCAGAATGAATCACAGTCACAGTCAGAGGCAAACCAACCTGGGGAGCTCCCCCCTAGCCAAGTCACTTGGGAAGGGAGTCTCACCCTGCCATCCAGGGACTCTACCACTTGCGGTCCAAAAAGAATTCCTTATTCGAGCCAGTATACTTAGTGCAGTGGGCATGGCATGAAGAAACCACACTCTGGCTCAGGCAAAACTCTGGTCAGGGGTGTCCAGAAAAGTCCCCCAGCGCCACACAGGCATGGTGTGGGGTGGCCCAAAAAGGATTTGCAATGATGATCTCAGGCCAAAACCCAGTTCCTTATTCAAGCCAATATACTTAGTACTAGCAAATTACCCATCAAGAATGACGGGGGGTGGGAAGGAGGGTGTGCCCCCCCTTCCCCCACCTCGCTCTACCCAAACCTCCTTCCCACTTCAGGTCTGACCCCAAGCCACTCCCATCCCCCCCACCACTTCAGGTCTGAACTCACTCCCCTCCTCCCTCCCTCCACTTCAGTCCGGTCCCACTCCCACCCCCTCCCCACTGCTTCAGGTCCAAACCCGCTCCCCTCCTTCCCCCCACAGCCGCTTCAGGTCTGCCTGGCCGGCATCTGCCTGCCTCCCTTCCCCTCCCTCCCTCACATCTCCCTGTCCCTGCCAGTTGTCTGGGGAGCATCCAGGATGGGCAGCCACCGTGATACCCCACTGGCCCTCGGGCAGGGAGGTGGGAGGCAGCCCAGCTGTCTGGGGCACGTTCCCCACCGCCAAAATTCCCTGGCAGCGGTGCAAACTTGGGCCCGCGCAGCACGTACCGCCCAGCCAATCGCTGCCCGCCCTCTCAGGGGCGCACGCACAGCTGGCTGGAAGCATTACGGACAGACATTCTGACCGACACACAGACCGCCAGACTAAGCCTTTTATTATGTTAATAGATATGGGGGCTGCAGTTAACAGCATACCATGAAGAAACCATGCTCTGGGCTGGGCAAGACTCCGGTCAGGGACATCCAGAGGAGTCCACCGGTGCCACAGAGTCATAGTGTGGGGTGGCCAGAAAGGATTTCCATTTCTAATCCCAGCCCAAAAAGAGTTCCCTATTCAAACCATTGTCCTTAGTACATTCACTGGCGGGGGGGAGCATGCTCTGAGTTGACAGCGTGGCAGACCCAAACCATGCTTTGGGCCGGACAATACTCTGGTCAGGGATGCCTGGGAGAATCGCCCAGTGCCACAGAGTCAGAATGGAGTGGCCCAACAAGGACTTTCATCTCTAATCCCAGCCCCAAACACAGTTACTTATTCAAGCCATTCTACTTATAACAGTGGCTGGGGGGCTGTCAGATAACAGCCTGGCATGGCCAAACCCTGTTTTGGGCTGGGCAAGTCTCTATTCAGAGATGTCCAGGACAGTCCCCTGGTACCACAGAAGCATGGTGTGGGGTGGCCCAAAAAGGATTTGTGGCTACAATCCCAACCCAAAATCCAGTTTCTTATTCGGGTCCATGTATTTAGCACAGTGGCTGGAGTGCTGTCATTTGGCAGCCTGGCACAGCCAAACTGTGGTTTGGGCTGAGCAAGTCTCTGGTCACAGATGTCCAGAAGCATCAGTGGCATACAGATGTGGTCTGGGGTGGCCCAAGAAGGATTTCTAGCTTTAATCACAGCCCAAATTGCAGTTCAAATCCGGATACTTTGCAGTGTCTAGAGAGTAGTGTCAGTTGGCAGCCTGGGATGGCCAAACCGTGCTTTCGGCCGGGCAAGTCTGTGGTCAGAGATGTCCAGGAGAATCCCCCAGTGCCACAAAGGCACAACGTGGGGTGGCCCAAGAAGGATTTCTCAGTATACTCCCAGCCCATCATCCAGTTCCTTATTGGGGTCCAGATACTTAGCACAGTGGCTTGGGTGCTGTCTGTTGGCAGGCTGGCACAGCCAAACCGCACTTTGGGCTGGGCAAGTCTCTGGTCAGAGATGTCCAGGAGAGTCTCCCAGTGGCACAGAGGTGTGGTTTGGGGTTGCCCAAGAAGGATTTCTGGGTATAAACCCATCCCAAAATCCAGTTCCTTATTCAGCTCCATGTACTTAGCACAGTGGCTGGGGTGCTGGCTGTTGTCAGCCTGGCATGGCCCAACTGCGCTTTGGGCCACAAAATTTGGGATGGCCCAAGAAGTATTTTGCCCCATAATCCCATCCTAATCTGACCTTCGTTTAAGGCTCTGTTCTTTATGTGGACTATTATTTTTCATATTAATTAGCATATATGCATAGCTAATGAAATTCTGTCTCTTTAGGATGTTTAATTCATTAATAAGAAATTTTTATTGAGTCTAGATTAGTTTTGAAAAAGGAATCAGGAATAAGGAACCAACTTCAGCCTCATTAACCTCCCAGCCCGTAACGCTGGGGCCACTTCTCCCCACACGCTGGAGTACATACCTATTTACACAGTTTATTATTTACAAAACAGTCAACATATGAATGAGGTTAATAGCAGAACAGGATATCAATAATCTAATTGCTGAAGACGGGTATCAATTAACTAAAACACTCTACAAATTGAATCAAAGACATCCTCAGTATAACTCTCCAGCTTAAACCTTGAGACTCCAGTGAATTTCAGCAAGAGCACACAGGGTTAACAAGACATCCGCTCGCCTTCATACTGGCAGTACAATAACCACGGCTGGTGCTGCTGCTTCAGAAAGCCCTGCTGTCTGCTAGAGCCTGCTTTGGGAAGAGAAGCTCTCCTCTGCTTCAGCTGTCTGTGGTATCTGCAAAGAAACACACACTGTCCCCTATCCCAAAAAGCACCTTTCTCCAATTCCCAGACATGGCCCCTTTGGCTGATAACTGATACGACCCTGGGTTTATCACCCACGCAGCTGCAGGATGGTTCCTCCCCGAGCTCTGTGGTCCGCGGTCCCTTCCCTTCTCAGCCAGGCCAGTCCCTGGCTGAGTTCCCGCCCCTCTCTTGCCTCAGGAGCCAATCAAAAACATGCATATGTCCTTGCAAGCAACAACTTTCTGCAAACTTTCCTGCTCTGCCTTTGCAAGGATCCTGAGCCCTGCTGCAAATCCAACAGCAGCTGTTACATATATAAATAAACATACAACTATTTCTCACAATTCACTCCCAAAATCTTTGTAGTTGTGATGCAAAAATTGTAAGTTGGCCAGCGGTCAGAAATGGATAACACCATTAGTAATCAAAGAATTCCTGTAAACCACATTGGTTCCTCAAAATTGAATGATTCTAAAATTTGACAATTACTACTTGGTCACTTTACTTAAAAATGTAATTGAATTGACTACCTTTCAACTGAAATAGTAGTCATAAAAATGGTCAATATTTTGGCCAGTGGGGCTGCCTCAGAACTCAGGTTAGCTGTCACAAAACAGCAATTTATTACCAGAATCTCATTGGAGGGCACAGTAATCACACACACAAATCTTCAGCTCTCTCTATCAGTTGTACAGATCAGTTTGGTTGCCAAATTTCCATCTGGTAACCTTGGCTTACTGACAACAATTTAAATCACCAGTGGTTACTTGATTAGCTGATAAGCCAAGAGAGCTAACAATTTACATGGCAATATGCTAGTGTAATAAAAAAGGAAAACCAGAAGTTAGATTGCATTACATAATGACTCTTAAGCAATGCAGTAGATTTTTATACTGCAGGCTTTATATCCCTGAATACAAATTACACTCTATACTGTCCCCATCCTTTGAGGTGCTGAACACAGTGCTGCCAATCACCGATTTGCAGAGGTTTAGCGCTTTCTAGTATTAGGCCCCCAAACTAACAACAACAATTATTTTCAATTGTAGACACTCTCAAAAGAATCTTTGAGCACAGAGTGAATCAAACTCAATCTGACAAAATGAACAGGT